ACGCAGTTGAGGCGCGGTGAGCGTCGTTCGAACGCAATGCGATCTGATTGGTCGCAATAAAGACGCAGTGAACGCAGTCCAAGCGTGATGCGGGCGTGGTGTTGAGCGTGGTGAAAGCTTGTTGAGCGCAATGAGATCGGGGTAAAGACGCACTTAGATCGTAGTATCGACGTAATTAGATCGTAGTATCGACGCTGGGCCCGGCTGGGGCCGCGCTCTCAACCACCCTTGCCACGCTCGGGCAATTTTTTGGGGCGTGGGGCGATCGTGATGAGCGTATAGCTCTGATGTGAATGGGCCTTAATATGCCGGACCGTACCTCGGCTACTCCACTAACGAGTCTAGGGAGTCGCCTACGCCTACTCCCTAACCATAACCCTAACCCTAACTCTAACTCTAACTCTAACCCTAACCCTAACCATATAAACCGGAACGTACCCTGGTAACTATCTGATATGGTTAGGGTTAGGATTAGGGTTAGGGAGTAGGCGTAGGCGACTCCCTAGACTCGTTATTGGAGTAGGCCAGGTACGGTCCGGCATATTAGATAGTACTATACCGGACCGTACCCAGGGTACGTTTCGGCAGTACCCTAGAGGACATATATAATATATAGACCCTCTCAGCGTAAGTAAACAGGAAATCTATATACAGTAAAACTCGCATAAGTCGGCACTTTTGGGACCAGCACATATACCAGTCCGTACATAACCTGGGTACGTTACTGTTTTAGCGCATGCGCAATATCTCACCAGAGGAGTTATATTTTGTGATGAAAACGCATTTAGTGTAGTCAGGGGCTATCTCAACATAGGTTTCTGTGATAAATTCTTATTAGTAGACCCGTGTTTATAGTTAGGAGAGCGCCCTAGCCTGTAGGGGGCAAAACTCCTACTTTATTCCCGCCCGCCCTTTCATTTGTCTCCATTGTCGCATGCTCAGCCTCCGTCTCCTTCCACCGCCCCTCGAATGTCTTCCCTGCCACCGTCCCTCAGTTACCCACCCCTCTCTTCCTCAGCAAGCTATTTTACGTACTTTTCCTTTGACCGTACCGTACTGCACGTCTAATACGCAGCGGGGTCCTTACATGTAAGGTCTTTCTCCTATTTATTAAATGATGTCTGCTGATGGAATGTTATCATGTAAATCTATGCTAAGATAACTCCTCTTCATATTAAATGCATAATCTTTGCAAAATACGATTTCTCCCGGGAGATATTGCGCATGTGCGCGCACCGTGTTAGACGTGCAGCGCCGTCTGAAGCAAACATTATAATATAGCTTGCTGGGTGAACGAGGGGATTGGAGACTGAGGAAAGGCGGCAGGGAAGATAGCTGGGGGCGGTACAGGGGAGGCAAGGGGAAGGACGCGCGGGCGTAAAGTAGGTGTTTTGTACCCTACATGATAGGGCGCTCTCCTAATTATAAACACAGGTCTACTGATAAAGGTTTATTATGGAAATCTATGCTGAGATACCCCCTAACCATTTTAAATGCATATTCATCACAAAATATAACTCCTCTGGTGAGATATTGCGCATGCGCTAAGACACTAACGTAGCCAGATTGTGTACTGGCTGGTATAAGCAGCTGGGACCTTACATGCAAGGTCATCCTTCTAGTTCTTAAATGATGTCTACTGATGGAATGTTATCATATAAATCTTTGCTAGTATAACTCCTCTTTATTTTATCTCAATAATCTTTGCAAAATACGATTTCTCTCTGGAGATATTGCGCATGCGCGCACCGTGTTAGGCGTGCAGTGCCGTCTTAGGCAAACTTCATAATATTATTTGCTGAGAGGTAGAGGGGATGGGAGACTGAGGAGAGGCGGTAGGGAAGATAGCTGGGGGCGGTAGAAAAAGAATGAGGCTGAGCGAAGGACAGGGGAGGCAAGGGGAAGGACACGAGAACATAAAGTAGGTGTTTTGTACCATACATGCTATAGGGCGCTCTCCTAATTATAAACACAGGTCTACTGATAAAAATTTATTAGGAAAATCTATGCTAAAATATCCCCTAACCATTTTAAATGTATATTCATCCCAAAATATAACTCCTCTGGTGAGATATTGCATGCGCATGCGCTAACACACTAACGTAGCCAGATTGTGTACTGGCTGGTATGCGCATCGATGACCGTACATGCAAGGTCTTCCTCCTACTTCTTATATTATGTCAACTGATGGAACGTTATCATATAAATCTATTTTAGGATAACCCCACTTTATTTTCAATGCATAATCTTTGCAAAATACGATTACTCTCGGGATATATTGCGCATGCGCGCGCACCGTGTTAGGCGTGCAGTGCCGTCTGAGGAAAACTTCATAATATTATTTGCTGAGAGGTAGAGGGGATGGAAGACTGAGGAAAGGCGGCAGGAAAGATAGCTGGGGCGGTAGAAGAAGAAGGAGGCTGAGCGAGGGACAGGGAAGGCAAGGGGAAGGACGCAAGGGCATAAAGTAGGTGTTTTGTACCCTACATGCTAGGGCGCTGTCCTAATTATAAACACATGTCTACTGATAAATGTTTATTAGGGGAAATCTATGCTGAGATATCCCCTAACCATTTTAAATGCACATTCGTCACAAAATATAACTCCTCTGGTGAGATATTGCGCATGCGCTAACACACTAGTTAACGTAGCCAGATTGTGTACTGGCTGGTGTACGGCAACTATACGCAGCGCAGGCGACAGATATCGACATCCGCGAGTGCTGCACTGGCGCTTGTCTTGTTTTCCCTATTTAATGCTATATCTATGCCTATGGGTAATTAATACGATCGGCATCTACCATAGTAACTTGTTTTAGCATTACTAAAATACGTAAACAAAAAGAAATATTTTCGGTTGCGGAAAGGTTATTGTCGGAGTGAGCTGACGGGGGCTGAAGGTCACAAGCGGGGGACGAGGTGGCCTAGGGCCACACTTGCAGCACACTTATTTACATTGTGGTCCTTGTTTTGCTATGCCTTGAATCTAACTGTTGGTTGTTTGGTTGACTGCCATAACCCATAACACTTCTATCAGCACTAAATATTGAAATATACAAATTTGTAGTTTTAACCGGTCATACAATGGTACATTCTCATAAGACGATACAAACTTTTCTTATGCTTAATTGTAACCGAATTCTTTTAGCGAAAATCATACTCCTCTGCCTCTAATGTTTCTATCTTTTCCATCAGATATTTCTTAACACTATAATTAAAACTAGAATAAACAGAATTTGTTCTAACTTGCTGTGGTAGAGAGTTTCAAGCTTCAATTGCAGTATAAGTATAAGAGTTTTTCCCACTGCTTCCCACCCTCGGTTTAAAAATAGACATCTCACCTTCCCTTGTATTGAAACTATGGACCTCTGACGTTAACATGAAACCTTCTGTCGGCCTTCCTTCCGTCTCCCACCCCTCTCCCTCAGCAAGCTATATTACGTACTTTTATTTAGACCGTACTGCAAGCCTGAAATGGTGCTCGCGCATGCGCAATATCTCCCGAGAATAATAATATTTTGCAAAATTTATGAATTTTATGAAGACAAAGCAGACCTTGTATGTAAAGACCCCGTTGCATATACCATTTAGTACATAACCTGGGTATAGTATCTATGATCAGCGCATACGCAATATCTCACCAGAGGAGTTTTATTTTGTGATGAAAATGCATAAAATTGAGTTTGTTTTTAGGGGATATCTCAGCATCGATTTCTGTAATAAATTCTTATTGTTAGACTTGAATATGAGGGTGAGTCCGAAATGAAATGTTGTAAAATGCATTGATGTTGTCAAAAGTGCATTCTCAGTTGTACTTCATAATAGAGATCTATAAATAAACTATACTATTTATATATAAATTTATAATTATATTTATAAATAAGTTCGGAAACTCAAGTTTGATCGATGATATCGCTCTTGTTCCTGCACTATTATCATTGCAATTGGTATCATTGGAAAGCCTGTTTATTTTCCTTCACAAATTAATTGGGAGATGTGCATCGCCCATATAGTCCAGGAAATACCTGACATCACTATTGAAGGCTAAACAATGTACTGTTATATAATGTTCTTGCCATGCCGAGTATGTTTGAAAAAATTTGCAGTTTAAAGTCTCCTGATACAAATATGCCAATGTACAAAAATTATTCTAATTCTAATTTCGTAATATATGGCAATTGATAATAATGAGATAAAGATGCATGTACATAGTATTTGTTATTGTAGTCTACAAATTAACCATTTGGCAATCCGAATGAGAAATCCTCATGCAAGATGAACATTTATACATATTATTATAGCGGCCATATTGGATTTATGCAAATTAGGGCAGCCATATTGCATTTTCGCATGATAGGGAGTGATTCATTTTTATTCGAATATAGGTAAATGCATTCTCCATGCCAACAATCATCATAATAGTACTTTCATTTACTCAAATATATCCTTGGATAGCAGAAATATTGCAAAATAATGGAAATTGGCCGCCATTTTGGATTTATGGTAATTATAGCGGCCATATTGCATTTTTGCATGTCAGGGAGTGACCCATTCGCATTCTAATATAGCTAAATGCATTGCCCATGCCAATAATAATTAAAATAGAACTTTAAATTACTGAAATATGTCTTTGGATAGCAGAGATATTGCAAAATAATGAAAATTGGCGGCCATTTTCGATTTATGCAAATTATGCAAATTTGCGTGGGAGGATTTCTTAGGACTTTTAGGATAGTGTTCTTTGGTCATCACAGAAATTCCCTGTGAAAAAAAAAATTCTGTTGCTTTTTTTTTAAGGTTGGCTGCAAACATGACCTAGATTGCCTGGACTAATAGGAATTAATCGCCCCTACTTCGCAAATATCACATGAAGCACTTGCCATTGTAGACGCCACTCAATTATTAAAATGCATTGTTTATCTTTTAGAATGGTGTCGATCGATCCACGTATAGTGGTTCTGTAAAATCTTTTATTTTCACCCGGTAGGATACTGTTCGGTGGAAGTTTAACTGATTAAGTCTGATTTGTTTGGCTGGCTAGTGGTATAGGTATAAATCATTCAAGTTCCACACAGTTTCAGCAACAAGAGCAAGATCATTCTTTGCTAGACGATCAAGATAATGAAGATGAAGCATACAGATTGTTGGCATGATTAATGGTGAATGTTGTCACCGCGATCTGTCGACCAGTTCTTAATTTTTAGGAGTATTAATTTTATCAATTTTTTCAATTTTGATTAATTTGAATAGAAAAAAAACTCAATAATATAACATACTAGCAATACCCGCGCTCCGCGCGTAGGGGTTTTATTGAAGATGGTTTGTATGAAGTATAGAATGGAAAAGTGAAAGTGACGATACCTTTATACATTGTTCATACAGGACTGAAATTTTTTCAAGGACTTTTCAAGGATATTTTATTTGGAATTCAAGGACATTTTATCCGACATTTTATCGGAATTCATACACAGAACAAAACATACCTGGATTAATTTAATAACCCCATTCTTAATCACTGCATGTCACCTCTAAAACTGACCTGGATGACATTAATAAACCGTTCTAAACACTGTCACTTCTACAACATACCTTGATTTACTGACTGACTGTAATTTGTGATCATCATTTAACTGTCTATCGTGTCTATAGATTTTTAAACTCATTTAACAAAATTGTTATTGAGGTTTGCACATTATTGATGGTACAACATTTCTTTTTATTACAGGCAAGGATTCTTTGTAAAAATTCAAGGACATTTTTCATAAAATTCAAGGACATTTTCATGAAATTCTTGAAAGCACTTTTCATGCACAAAATCAACATTTACTAAATTGAAGTACTTTTGAAGGACTCCCCTCAAATTCAAGGACTGTGCGAACCATGTTATAGGACTTCCTTGTAAACAATATTGTTTGTCACAGTTTTGTTGTTGAAGACTCCTTGCGTTGGCGACTGGAGGACCTGGACAAAGATATCCTGAAAACGGCGTGCTCTTGAGAAGGCAACATAGAGTTGGCCATGACTAAACACTGACTGTGGAAGAAAGATGCCAACTTTGTTGAAAGTTTGTCCCTGTGCTTTGTTTATTGTCATGCAGTAGCTAGCTCGTATAGGAAATTGTGTTCTTTCAAGGATGAAAGGTAGGTTGGCATCAGAAGGTGCTAGTTTTATGCGTGGTATCAGCACTAATTGACCCTTACTGGATCCTGTTATAATTTCCGCATCGATGACATGATTATGTAGGTGGCGCACTAACAGTCTGGTACCATTACACAATCCTCTTTTGACATCCAAGTTTCTCAAGAGCATGACAATTGATTCTTGCTTTAGTAGCAGGCGGTGTGGAGGCATGCCGGTGGGAGTGATGGAATTTAAGAATTCCAGGGGATACTGTTGAGCTTCCTTTTCATCTACACAAATGGCACGATCTGCACTTGTATAGAGTTTAGGTGTACCGGGTAGTCTTTCAATGACAGAGTCATTGATCCGTAGTGAAGAGTCATTTGTTGGGGTCAAAATGACTGTGGTGGCTAAATTTCTTGGTTGCGTAAGGTCTGAGAAAATTTGATCGACAATATTTGTGTGCTGACTGACTATGTTGCATTCTGGTGGAATTTGTATTGTATTCTGAATGTTAGTGTCTGCGTGGAGTTGACCATTTCCGAGATGCAGGAGCCAGCTGGCAAAGGTCTGTTCGCTCTGAAGGGCTCTCATGTTTTTGGTGAGGTGGTGGAGTGTCAAATGAGGCCAGAGAGGTGAACGTTTTAAGCAGTTTTCGATGACAACTGCAGGTGGTTTCTTTGGGATAACTGGAAGTACTTGTCTGAAGTCTCCACCAAGGACAAAGATTTTCCCACCAAATGGTATGTCAATGTCAGCTATATCCCTCAGCATTTTATCTATGGCTGTCAGAGCATTAGACGGAATCATCGAAGCTTCATCAATGATAAATAGGGTGACGGAACGAAGGAAGTCGGCATGATTTGAATTTGGCTTGACATTACTGACACTTGTGTCTAGGATGGGTACAGGCAATTTGAATAGATTGTGTACTGTACGACCGTCTGTCAACAATGTAGCTGCAATACCTGTCCATGCAGTTGCGGCAACCAGTTGTCTCTCGCTATGGCAGTAGGAAATGAGGGTGTTATAGCACAGTGTCTTTCCGGTGCCCCCTGGCCCATCCAGAAAATACGCTCTGCATTTAGGGGTAGCTGCTGTTTGGATGTCATGTAGGTCTTGGATGACTGCCTGCACGAAACTGTGTTGGTCGTCATTGAGTTTGGCGATTAGTTCCTGTGCTTGTTGTGGGCTGACATTGAACTGTGGGGTATCGTTTGTGATGATTTCTTGTGTATCCATCAGTGGTAGGTTAAAATCAGAGCATTTCATACTGGCCTGACGTAATATGGAGTCTATATGGAGCAGGGCCTTCTGTTCAGCTGCTGTGGGTGACAGGTGGTGAAGGTCAGTGTAATCTTCAGTCATCGCCACTTTATGCGAATCCCACAGTGTTGACGCATGCGTAGGCAGACAGTACATGCATATCGTGGCAAACAGGGCTCGGAGTTGACTGGGCATCTGAAACCGAGAGGCCTCTTTCAAGGCGTAGTCCCATTCTTTGTCATCAGTTAGGAGATGGCGTTGTATGCATGCTTCCTTGAATGTTGGAAGAACTTGGTCGTCTATGGTCCTCAAGTGTTCAAAACTTGTTGCACCTGTAACGTGGTGCAAAAGTATACGTAGGCAGTATTTTTCTGTGTCCTTGGGGCTGACGGAGTAGATACGTGGGAGTATCTTGTCTCCTCTTTGTTTTCTAGGTGTCCATTGATGTGTTTGGTTTTGCCAAACGAAGTGATTCGGGAGCTGTGTATACAGGTAAGGCGTCGGGTTGCGCGAGTTTATTGTGAAATAAGCCGTTAGCATTGTGTCATGAGCTGATGCTGCAAGCATGGCAGATTCGTGGTTTCCTTTTTCAAAGTAAACATGCTGTTGGTTTGGGAGGTGGATGGCAAGACGGTACACAGTGTGGGACTGTTGGTGCATGTGGAATTCGGATAGTCTCCAAAAGGCCTCTGGTGCACTGACATATCTTGTATCCAAAAAAGTGTGGACTTCGTCATGTGTGAGCTCATCTGTCTGAGTTATTCTGACATTTGCGCAGTCGTGGCCTTTGTACACGTATTTGAATAAATATTTGACGGACTTGATTGACGTACATGCCTCTACATTGATGTGGGCATAGAATTTCTTCGTGAGATATGGGTTGTAAGGCACTATCCACCTGTTATCTATTTCATGTCGCCCAACGATTATGGTTCGTCCGTTGTCTCGACGTCTGTACAGTGGGTAACCGTTGACTGCCAGGGCTGTGCTATCTTGGAAGGCTTTGGGGTAGTCCTTTGAACACTTGTTATCTACCATGTATGGGGAAGCGTGGTTGAATGAGCCGCAAGGTCCATGAACCATCGTGCTCTTGACGATATTGTACAGGTGTGGTTCGCTTTGTTGATCTGGGATTTCGGCTGATATTACACTGTCAATATCGGCCGGTTCTTTCAGTTTGCTTCCTTCTGCCAATATAAGTAAGAGGTGGCAGTGGGGAAGGCCACGTTTTTGAAATTCAATGACGTATATGTAAGCGATTGGCACTCCAAGGACATGCTTGTTTCTGATGTCATCTAGTAGTTCTGCCAGGTGTAGTTTAAAGACACGGCTGACAATGTCTGGTCGGTGTTCTGGTCTTTGGTTGGGCAGAAGTGAATCTAAAATGTCTTTACACGTCGGATTGCATGTAAATGTTATGAACAGGTCTGGGCGCCCATGCTTTGAAACTATCGCCATTGCGTCTTGGAAGTTCTGCTGCATGGCTCTGGGTGACCCTTGAAAGGATGATGGCAGAATTACTAATTTTCTTGGTGTAAGGTTGTGTTCTGTTGCTTGCAAAGCCAAGTGATCCATAAGACCTTGGTACATTTCTACTCGAAGATTCTTCTGGTTGTTTCGAATCCAAGAAAATCGACTTGATTCGGTACGTACATATGCATCAACAACGTACTGTTGAAAAAGTTTGCCGCCATAAAAGATAGGATTGAAAGCTGAGCGAGCTGATAAGCGATGGCAGTAGAACTGCAGACAGGTAACTTTCGATCGTTTTGGTGTTGCCCGTTCAGTTGTGTGTTGCATATCATACTGCCATCCCAGGGTTCCTGAAGGGAAAAATATTGGATACACCATAGGGTCGATGTTGGATGACATGTAGGAGATGTTTTGTGGGGGGGTGACCTTTAGGATGTATTAGAATGTCTCGCTGGGCAGGTGGTGCGCCATCGGGTGAAACGAATACTGCTGCTACTTCATCCATTCTAACAGGATCGTTGTACCGCCGTTGGTCGTGACCACGCATGATGTTCATGGATACAGTTGGAATTGGGGTGTTGTTCTGTCTGGCTATTTCGGTTTGTTCTCTTTCGACTTGTTCCATGTTCTTGTAAGCTGCAGCATAGGGATTTAGTGGATGAATGACGTTCGTGATAATTGTCATGACATCTTCACGGCAATTAGTGTTTTGGGACTGTTGCAGCCTTGTTTGTATGGCCTCACCGGCTTCCATGATATAAAGCTGGCTGTAAGAGGGTGCTGTGTTGGTAGGTGGATGTAGGCATCCAGCTCTGTGGTAAATTTGTGCATGTAAGCGAAACGTGTATGGACCATGTCCTGGAGGTGGCACAATACTTCCACCAAAGGATGCAAATGAAACAGCACTGTTGTATTGTCTTATGTTCTGCATGAAATTGCGAGAAATGGTGTCATTATTTTGAAACAGCTGACGTAGCTGCAAGGGATATGGTGGTAGTGGTGGAAGTGTTACTTTACCGTTATGGCAACAGTTGAAGGATTCTTTTCGAAAGCGTAGGGCACTGCAAAATTGACAAAGGATGTGCATGGGGCCAATTGTGAATGTGTGAATTTCTGGATGTAGTCTGCATCCAATTAAGTGCTGTGTTAATGGGGTAAGTCGGTGTTCTCGGATAGTTGTTGCAGCAGCTGGTTGCTATTGGTTGTCTGTGTTTGCCAGGTCATTTCGACGGATTTCTCGGCGAAGTCTTTCATCGTCTCTTTTCTTTTTTCGACTCAGTTGACCTTCCAAAGTAGATGTTCTTTTGCGTGCAGGCGGCATCTTTCTGTTATATGTAGTTGCAGGGCTGCAATGTATCATTAAGGAGGGCTTTAGGTAGGGTGAAACCGGGCATTTAGATAGTCGTCATCACTGAACAACGGAAATGCAAAGAAATGAAATGGGGAATTTATATTTGTTAGAAACAACAGATTTGGCAAGATGAGCAGTAACATTATTGGGTCAGCAGTAACAACAGATTTATGGATTGTCTCTTGATAGGTCAACAAAAAACTTATATAGAACTTATATAAACTTACATAACTTATAAACTTATAAACAGAACTTATATAACACTTATATAAAGTTATATAACAGAACTTATAAACTTATATAACTTTGGGTGTTGAATGTTATCTGAATACATTTTGTACAGTCTGCATTTTCTATTGAGTATCACTGTTGGGCAAAGCCTTTAAGGCATCAGCCTCGGGGATTTGGTCCTCAGCACTGTCAACCACTGCTTCTTTGTTGCTGTCATGAGAGGAGGCATTGCCCTGAGACGGGGAGTCATCTTCGGCCTCTAGGAAATGGGTCTGGGAATCCATGAATTGACTCAATGTAGTGTCATCAAGATTACAGTCATCAAGATTATTAAACAAAGATTGAGTGGAGTCATTTGGATCGTGGGTGGAAGTCCTCGCACTACTGGGTGGTTTCTTTGTTGATGTACTTGCATGTGCAGCAGTTGCTTTGGAGTGATATTCCAGTTTCTCGACCTTTTTCTTCAAATTTTGCTTTGCCACGTGGAGGAAGTTGACCTCCTTTTTCAGAAATTTCAGTTCATTAAGTATGGCCCCTAGTTTGAAGTTAATGTTGTTTCTCACACCAGGAAATCTCTGCAAGGCTACAGAACTTTTTTGATCCTGGAGATTTACCTGTAGTGTAGACAAATCTCTCTCGCTGGAGTCTTGTAGTGTTTCACACTGTTTGATGATGTTATCAACCTTCTCAGGGGCAGTAACAATTTTAGATGCCATCTGAAAAATTGTAAAAGAAGTGAATAAGTGCATGAATTTTTAAAATTTAGAAATGAGACAGGGAAGTATGGAGTAACTTGGCGCATAAATGGTTGAATTCTAAAACCTCTAGCATTGCTACTGCTGGGTGCTACTGTACATCCGTAATACATTTATCATGTATGCTGAAAGAGAGCAGATGCTGAACTCATGGAATTTGTATAGTAATGATTAGAATACAGCACCGCTTCTCAGAAGATTGAGGGGTTACAGGAAACGTCAAAAATGGTAATATCATTTTATGCAACATTTCCTGAGACATCTCTTCCAAGTTATACCTATTGTTATGCTTTCACTGGAAAGCTAACTGAATAGTTTTACTGGTAAGAATTTTTTTGGAATTACATGGGCCACTGGTTTGCCGACTAATACGGCCAATAGATTGACTAATGATAGATTAAACATTTCCATTAGTTCACTTACCGGTTGATGACTTTTAAGTCACACAAAAATCGCAACTTGTGATAGGGAACAAATGCCGTCATGTGCTTCCGGTCGCACTGGAGCGCCGCGTAGCGCTAAGACTGGGAACCAGTTTACTGCCAAAGTAAGTAAGTAAGTATGAATCCGGGTTGCCAAAAAAACGCTTGCACAACGCACACACACTGGCGAAAGTTCATGCTATTTGAACGGATAATAAAGTCGTCATGACTGCTACAACCTCGGTGAAACTCCATAACAGTGAGGGGGAATGGGGGGGGGGTACATTCCCACTTTCCCAGCAAAAAAACACCCCATATCCCAGTTCCCAGTAAAATAAAATTCCAATTCCCAGTTCCCAGGAAATTATGTATAGACATGTTTCAGGAAACTCAGTAGTTTAGGTTTTGAAACACTACATAAATACTAATATGTACATATACTACATAAATCTTCTGGCTAAAAAGAAATCTTTTTTTTTTAATTAAAAATATTAGCTCAGAAATTGAAATCGCGACGAATTGACACAATTTTCCCAGATCCCAGCCAGACAATTTTAGAGGGTCTTTCCCACGTCCGATTTATCTGACATTTCCCAGTTCCCAGGTAATTAAAATGGCGAATCCTGCGTCCCCCCATCATAACAAAATTTCACTGGAAAGCTAACTGAATAGTTTACTGGTAAGAATTTTTTTGGAATTACATGGGACATAGACCTGGGGGACATGGACCCTATCAGCGCCACTGGGTGCTGCATAGTGGAGCATGAGACTTACCTGGTTGTCGGGAGATTGGCTGTCGAGTGATAAATATGGTCTGAATGGTTTCCTCTGAAACTGAAAAATGAAGGAAATCACTATCAGCGCATTTACATAGTATACTTACCGAATTTTTATTTTATTTTCAATGAAATAGGAGGAGGTTTCAAGGAAATTCAATGGTGGTAATTTGTATATGTATATTTGTATATTTTCAATGGTGGTATATTTGTATATTTTCAATGGTGGTAATGCATATTACTGCTAGTTACTGTTTAGGGTGATCATTACTGCCAGTGCCCAGTGGCATGTTCAGGGATTTGCCGACTAATACGGCCAATAGATTGATTACCTGGTTGTCGGGAGATTTGCTGTCGAGTGGTAAATATGGTCTGAATGGTTTCCTCTGAAACTGAAAAATGAAGGAAATCACTATCAGCGCATTTACATAGTACTTTATTTTATTTTATTTTATTATATCGAGGATTTAATCCAGGAAATTCAATGGTGGTAATTTGTTTTGCCCTGCATTCATAAGTTAATGATAATGCATATTGGTGCCAGTTACTGTTTAGGGTGATCATTACTGCCAGTGGCATGTTGAGGGATTTGCCGACTAATACGGCCAATAGATTGACTATAATGATAGATTTCACAAGTTAATCATAATTCATATTACTGCCAGTTACTGTTTAGGGTGATCATTACTGCCAGTGGCATGTTCAGAGATTTGCCGACTAATACGGCCAATAGATTGACTATAATGATAGATTACAAATTATTAGTTCACTTACCGGTTGACTTTCAAAAATGAAACCGAAACTGATAGGAAACAAATGATGGAAAATTTCCGGAAGCTTCCGAAATGTTTCCGGTCGCACTGGAGCGCCGCGTAGCGCTAAGACTGGGAACCAGTTTACTGGCGAAGTAAGTAAGTAAAAAAAACGGGTTGCCAAAAAAACGCTTGAAGTAACACAGGCGGTATAACGCGGTTTACTTTATCGCAAAGAGCAATTCAATAACTACACACTGGCAAAAGTTCATGCTATTTGAACCGATAATAAAGTCGTGATGCCTGCCACAACCTCGGCGAAACTCTATAATAATATATAAGATAATATTATGGTATGAGAAGTAAATAACAATAGATTATATTATTATTCACTTCTGATAGTATCATATATATATATATATATATGTGTGTGTGTGTGCGCGCGCGCGCGTGTGTGTGTGTGTGTGTGTGTGTGTGTGTGTGTGTGTGTGTGTGTGTGTGTGTGTGTGTGTGTGTGTGTGT